CAGCACTGAGATCAGCAACACAGCACTGAGATCAACAACACAGTACTGAGATTAACAACACAGTACTGAGATTAACACACAACAGTGAAAGTCAACAAACAGCACTGACAATAAACAACACAGCACTGAGATCAACAACGTAGTACTTAAAGCACAGATGTGCAGTTTTGATATTTTAGTTCAGTTCAAGTCAGTTTTACTTTTAAAAATCTGGTTTTCGGTTCAGTTTTTGTTTTTTTTAGTGATAGATAAAAAAAATGCTGTTAACATTATGTTTTTCAAAGACCATAACGTGCTGTAAATAAAGCATTTATTTGTAAAACAAACTTGTTCAACCCTGGTTATATCACTGATCCAATAATGCTACACACTGACTTTAAAACTGAAAATAATATTCATGTACAGCATTAAATAGCAAAAGATGTATACAGGTGCTGTTAAAGTGATCAATAAGTCATGTGTCTTACATGATGTCTTTTAAGAATCATGCATGCAGATCAGCTACATTACATCCAAAAAGCAAATTTTGCTGACACACACATTAAAATTAAAGAGTCATGGAGACTGTGGCTGAGAAATAAGCTGTTCCTTTCAGTTCCATTTTCCTGCCTGGTGTCTTTTTAATTCTACAGCTCTTCCCTAAAAACAGAATCCAACCTGGTCTGTTTTGCAGGTTTTACAGAAACATTGACAATCTTGCCCGTAAATGCATGCTGTTTAATTAGACTGTATGTTAGTAGAACATTTTATCATTTAAAATATATATTTCCTAACACAAATATCTAGGATTGTTTGAGTCAAAAGCACAATTTTCTACACACCAGGTTATTTTTGTTGACAATCATGTTGTAGGACAACGATTTCACATGACAAGTTTGAGCCGGACGGTGTACAATGTGGCTATCGGGATGAGGACAGCGCCCAGAGTGTGACAGCGTCCTTGGTCACAGGTAGCACCACCTGTCCTGCCATATTCACCTCAAAGTGGGGTTTTACATCTGTAGCAGTTCTATAGTTCGCACTGGCTTCCTTTGCCCAAATTTTAGAAACACAATCCTGCTTATCGATCACTGTAAGTCGACCTTTCATCACTGCTGTGGAGCCAGTGTTTCCGATACGGAACCCGTCTCCACGGTCCTCTTAAGACACTTCAGGTCGATGTTAAGCTACGCAAGAAAAACAATGTTGTGTAGTTGGTGAAAATTCAAAAACTATTATCAGGCACGATTCACTGCAGTAGGAAAACAGGCCAACCTGTGCTGGACTACTTCTAAAATCTTTGTAATCACTTTATTGTCATTTTTTGTGAAGCCTTTAAATATATCAATCTGTCAAAAGTGATCAGTGAATGTTAACATTACTACATATATGAATATTACTTAGGCACTAAGCCAGCACAAACTAAATCCTCAATCGTCCTCAAATCGGAGCTCCTGTACAATAAACCTTGTCAGATGATCTCTGAGTTTAGAAACGTTGTGGCCAGACACCAAAAATCACAAATATTGCAAGAACATTTGCCCATTACCAAACCGAAAACCCCACACATCTAAGTCAGGTTTCAGTTTTTTATTGAAAACTGACTGATAATAAACTGCACATGTCTAACGAACTATCAGCACTGTGATTCAACAACACCACGGCACTAAGGGTCAACAACAAACAGCACCGAGAGTCAACAACACAACGCAGAGTCAACCACACAAAACTGAGAGTCAACACCACAACACCAAGTCAACAACACAACACTGAGTCAACATCACAGCATTGAGAGTCAACAACACAGCATTCAGAGTCAACAACACACAGCACTGAGAGTGAACAACACAACACTGAATCAACATCACAGCATTTAGAGTCAACAACACATCACTGAAAGTCAACAACACAACACATTGAGTTAACAACATAATACAGAGTCAACAACACTGCACTGAGAATCAGTATGGCACTGAGAGTCAACAACACAGCACTGAGAGTCAACAACACACAGCACTGAGATTAACAACACAACACTGAGTCGACATCACAGCATTCAGTCAACTACACAACACTGAGAGTCAACAACACAGCACTGAGATCAACAACACAGCACTGAGAGTCAACAACACAGCACATTGAATTAACAACATAATACAGAGAATCAACAACACTGCACTGAGAATCAGTATGGCACTGAGAGTCAACAACACACAGCACTGAGATCAACAACACAGCACTGAGAGTCAACAACAAACAGCACTGAGATCAACAACACAGCACTGAGATCAACAACACACAACACTGAGAGTCAACAACACACAGCACTGAGATCAACAACACACAGCACTGAGATCAACAACACACAACACTGAGAGTCAACAACACACAGCACTGAGATCAACAACACACAGCACTGAGA